TTCATTGTGTTGCGAAAATTTGATAGAACTATAAAATGAGACATGGTTTTGTGGTGCTTTTTAGGCATAGATGTTCGAGTGTTTTGCATTAGTTTGGTAATTTTTATATTTGATTGATTTGAATTCGATCACATTATTGATTATTGTAAATTAAGTGCACAAATTTATTTCGTGTCATTCGGTGATGTTTGTTTTTATGTTTGGAAACAATTACTTGTATTGTTGCATTGTTCGATCGTTTGATTTTGAGTAAATCATTGGAAGTTTTGAGGATTTGTTATCGTTTAAATGAAATACCGTTTTTATATTCGGTGTTCAATATGTGAAAATGTTTTTGTCGACGATTTTGCTATAGAAAATAAAGAGTTGAATCAGTAAGACTTCAGATTAAATGAGATAGAAATTGTATCACGTGTAATTGAGGTGATTTTATTCGTTGTTATGTTGTTGGAATTGCTGAAAGTCTACGGAATTTCTTTATATTCCTTTTGTAATTTTCCCCTATCGAAGGAAAATTTTTCGGAGGTCCTCAGAAAATCAGATGTCTCAGCCATTACTGATTGCGTTATATTACGATGTTGCGCAAACCTGATAGATATCATTAGCATATGTTTAAAACTTCTCTTGATCTAGTATTTTTAGCTTTTGAATGGTAATATATAGTTGTTGATGGGCAGACATGGTTCATGTGAAACGTATAAAAGGAAATGTGTCACAAAAACGCTTACAAACACTCCAACGAAAGAAACAACAGAAACGCCAGGTAGCTGGTTTGTTGAGGGATTGTTCCTACTTCCAAGTGATAATTTTTCATCTGTCAACATTATCATGCGAGATAATTCTTTATCAGTGACTCTGATAAATGGCTTTTGATAGAAAAGTATTGAGGTTAGATCTCTCACATTCAGTTGTGCACAGTGCTGGAGGGGAAGTGAAATCTTAGCGAGCCGAATTAATTTCGTTGCTTTTCATTTGCGATGCAACTGAACAATTCCATTCATGGTGTTTACTGTGATTTGTTAAAATGCGGTGATTTGTTTTGCATATGGTTTTGAAGAGTTCGTTTTGAGGGTATTATATCGGAGCCATTGATCAAACATAGCATCGAGGGGAAGTGGTATGAGTACGCTGATGCAGATCGAAGTGATGATGCCAACGAGGCAGATAGGGAGCAACTCTCAAAAGTCGAAGAAAAAGCGACGTATCTTCTTAGCCGGGATATTGATGTTCACAATCAGTGTCAGTTTTCGTATTGCCTTCCATTGTTTGCCTAAATTATTGGTAAACTGCATGCAGAAATCTTGAAATACTTCAGCCAGATTTCCACTTAAGCTTATAAATGAACTGTCCAAAGGCTGCGAATGTTATCAGTTACGTTCCATTGATCATTATTTAATGATTCAGAGCATTTCTATGTCCCAACAAGCTCGGTGTATTTCTGGATTCGTAGACGGCAAGCAGACTTGTCATCAAAAGAATATGGGGAGAATTTCCACCACCTATGAGGGAATGGATTTGTGTGGATTCAGGAGAAGGTGCAACCACTAAAGGGAAATATTCCTGGTTTCGAAGCAACCACTGAAGGAAGGGGAATATTTTTGGTTCAGAAGTTAGCATGTGAAAGCACTCCTGGAATTGAAGTGAATTTTTTGTTCGTTGGATACTTTGGATGCCTTCGACAAATGAACAATTGTGCGGATTTTATGAATTGGAATTTCAGTGGAATCTAAGCGAAATGCCTCCGAAGCAGGCTGGTTGAATACGGTGATTGTGCAAGGAACTGCGGGCGATCGAATAAGCGCTATGCAAATGTTTATTCAACGATCCCCCGTTCACGCACTCTCACATCT